CCGTATTGATTTAAATGTTTCCAGTCCTTCGTCCAGACAAAGCGACCCAACCTTGGGTAATATTACCTAAACCTTTACACTGTAGCTAGGAATTCTATTCTCATGCCAGTGTCAGACTGTTATCTCCTGACCACAGACTGTAGAGGCCAGCGAACGGGGAACTTAGCATCACACCTGAGCTGGACCGTAGGTCATAAAGATTACCTAACACGAATTGAGCGGACTGTAGACATTGAGGCGACGAGAAATTTAAAGTTTAACACGTCAGTGTAATTCTGGAGAGAACAGGTGTTTGGCAATTAGGAATGTTTTATCTTGGTCAAGGTCGTACTGTAGGCCGTTCACTGTGAGTGACAGGTCACTGGTTAGCCAAGTTGATCTGATAGTTACCTCGGAGGAGTGGCTTAAGCCATCATCTTGAGGGTTGGGTAAAAACTAAGTAAAGGGAGGAGTTTAACTTGGACAATAAATTGATACTTATACTTCGAGCCTGTGGAATTCCCGTCATTAATCGCAGCCTGCCGGCAAACAAACACAGGTCGACGTAAAGGTATATTTTACTGTCGTACTCTGGTTTGGCGATAGATGGAAAAGTTCCCAGGTGAATATTAATTTTAATCTTGTATACTTAGGTTAGGGAGTTAAGCTTTTAGTCTATACTACCTTTTCCTAATTTGTCTGCACATTCTGCTTGAAATAGTTCTTTGTGAATATTCAGTATCTCAGTTAGGGAACTGCTAAACTATTCCTATTTCTTGTATGTTTGTGTCACATGTTTTTTTTCATTGTATGTTTTCATGTGTATAAAATAAGATGTGAACAATGACATTTGCTATAATGAAATGTAATTATATTGTTTTCACGATCAGCCAAAATATGAGTTGGGACTGTGGGAAATGATGCCCAAATATGTGCAGGGATGCTGCTACGTTTTGTGTGCCCACCATGTGCTCACTTAATGTGTTCACCTGAACAGGGGATTTATAACCCCAGGGGAAGGATGATGGGTGTATAGAATTCACGGTCACTGAAAGATAATATTCAGGACAGCGTGCACATATAAATTGTTTGCTGGTTCAGCACATAACCTGCGCCACATGTTTATGTCAAATCTATGTCAGCCAATTCGAAGTCTGAGTGAAGACGGACAACAGACTTAGAAAGTCAACTATCATGACATAGCATTTGAGGGAAGGCAGGATATGTGACGCCCATGTAAGACAAAAGACCTTCAGACTAGACTGGAGAGGATGTGGAATATGAGGAGGAGTGATGGGCTATATCTTATTATTATATGTTGTATTAATTGATACATGTATTCTTAGTGTAAGTCAAGATACTACACGTATGTGTTTGTTTCCATGATTACAGCGCCCATGTGACGATCAGTCCATGAAGTAGACTACATTGTGTTAGACTCGGTCAGCTGGGAACCAGGTGGAGAACGAGGTGGAGAACGATGTGGAGAACGAGGTGGGGATGAAGTGGAGAATAAGCTGAAACAGGCAGACAACAGGCAAGGAAGAGTTGGACAAGCTTGACCGTTCCTCACGGCTGTCAGAGGCTTATAAGTTGAGTTAACACCTTTATGTTAACCTATTATCATCATTATCATACCACTCTAAACCCCGAGCTGTTTGTCTCGCTGAAGCTTATCACTTATCACGTTAACCAGTCACTGTTTGTGTAAATCAACAAACTGGTAATTTCATTGTAGTAAATAAAGCTGTATGTCAAGTTTTAAACTACATAGTTTGTTAAATTCCAAATGTCTGTTCTTACATGTTTAATTACACTGTTAGGATAGAATACCATTTGGTGGGGGCTCATATAATATGATAATAATTCTTTAATTATTAATAATAACACCGGGAGAAGGTAGATGACGGAGGAATCATTTGCCCTGTCTAATAATTCATTATAATGCTATAGACATCTAAAATTCCTTGCCTTCTCTTGTGGGTACCTAGTGCAGCTAATGTTAAAGTACTTAACGAGCCAATATGGTTGTTTTCTTGGGTATCCAGGACTTTGTCTGAGAGCAACATAGCTCAGATTTTAGTTCAGTTAATCTGGTGGAGGGAATGTGTTGAGAGGGACATCCCTACTCAACATTATAAACATTTTAAACCACGCGTCACGTCACAGAGAAGGACAAAGAATTAAAAGCAATAGACACTGAGCCTAAAATAGTTCTAAAACCACTACAAGGGATTTGAGAATTGTTTAAACTGTGTTTTCCCGTCTTAGCCAGACAAAGCAACCTTGCTTTGTGTAATGTTACCGAATACTACTGTAGTTAGAGATTTCACCTGCCCATGTCATATAATTATCTCCTGCCCAGTCTGTAGAGGCAAGTAAAGGGGGAGATAACTTCGTATCACACCTCAGATTAGCTCCCCTAAATCCCACCGTAGTGTCATAAAAAGTTACATAACACAGACTGAGGGGCTCCTTTTGAACAGGATAGATCAGGGGAATTAAGTGGTCAGGTAGACATTTCTAGACAGGCCGGCGTCCAGCGTCTGAAGTTTTCACACATGATAGTGAAATTCTCAAGAGAACAGATGTTTGGCAATTAGGAATGTTTAATCTTGGTCAAGGTCGTACTGTAGGCCGTTCACTGTGAGTGACAGGCCCATTGATAGCTAGGTTGATCTGCTACGTACCTCAGAGGCGGGGCTTAAGTCATCTCCTTTAGGGTTGGGTATAACCTAGTAGAGGGTGGAGTTAAACCGTGCAGACAGATAGAGGTATTAATAAGAGCAGCCCTGGAATTTCTGTCATAATCGCTGCGACAAGCAACAAACAGGTCGACCTTAGAGGTAATTCTAATGGTTTGATTCTAGTTTGGCGATAGCTGGAAGTTTCCAGCTCCCATGTGGGTGAGGATCAGTCGTTTCTAAGAACAGAAATAGAGGGTCATCACGGTCACGAGACTACATTGTGCTAGAACTCGGCCAGCTGGGAAACAGGTGGGACCCAGGGAACCAGGTGGAAGGACCAGGAGAACTGGGCGGAAAGATTGGAACAGCTAAGAAGGGACTCAATACGAGGACTCTCAGAGGTTCCACTTTCTAAAGTTATGTAACATGTATTTATGTAACTAAACACCACCATTATCATTTACTCTTATCTTAGGGGCTCAGTTATCAAGCTGAAGTATCCCATTACCACCATACCATCACTATTGACTAAAAATATAAAGAACTAAAATGAATGTTAGGATAATAAATCAAGTATATGGTCTTATCCTGCATCAGTTTTTATAATTCCAAGTGTGTCTGTTCTTACATGTTTAATTAAACTGTTAAGATAGAATAGCATTTGGTGGGGGCTCATTAAATAATAATAATAATTCTGTACCAAGAGAAGGTCGACGGATTGGGTCAACTGCCCTGTCTAGTGAATCATTCAAGATAATAATATATAGACATCTAAAACCCATTTCCTTCTCTTGTGGGTACCAAGTTCAGCTAAAGTTAATATAAATAACGAGCCGATATGGCTGTTTTCTTGGATATCCAGGACTTTGTCTGAGAGCAACATAGCCCGGATAATAGTTCAGTTAATCTGGTGGAGGGGATGTGTTGAGAGGAAAATCCCTACTCAACATATAAATCATTTAAACCCAAATCCAGAGAACCCACGACCCGGGACGTCACACTAAAAGTGTTGTACTTTCCAAGGGAGTGGGCCGTAACGTCACACTAACAAGGCCCGGTCATCTGCAAAGAGTAATTCGTTGATCTTACTAACATTTTCATTCATGGGTTTGGCATTCTTGCATATACTGTCGATGTAGGTGATAAACAGCAGTGGTGATAAGACACACCCCTGTCTTACTCCAGATGTTACTGTGAATGGATGAGATGTTCCCTGATTTATTCTAACTACACTTCTACAATCCCTGTATGAACTTTTGCACACTTCGATGAGGTGTTCGCTTACTCCATATCTTGCCATTACTTTCCATAATAATTGTCTGTCGACTCTGTCAAATGCCTTCTCCTGGTCTACGAATGCCACAAATAAGTTCTTATTGTATTCAATGTTCTTTTCTATTAACTGTTTAAGTGTGAAGTTTGCATCTGTGCAGCTTCTATTTCTCCTAAATCACATCTGTTCTTCTGCCAGCTGTGGTTCTATCACTGGTCTCAGTCTTGTTTCTATTATCTTGGCTTACATTTTGCCAACATGGCTTAAAAGAGAGATGCCTCGGTATTGACCGCATTATCGTTTGCTTCCTTTGCTCTTCCACAATGGTATAACTATTGCATGTTGCCAACCAATAGGGGCAATTTGTTGTACCCATGCTGCATTAAATATTCTGTGAAGCCATCTGATGCTGCTTTCACCTGCTGTTTAAATTATTTCTGTTGGTAATCTATCAGCTCCTGTTGCTTTATATTTGGGAGACTGCTTAATGACTTTTTCTATTTCATCCATTAGTATGTGTGGTTCTAACACTGTTGCTCTGGGCTCTTCAGTTGTTCGTTCCTGATGATCTCCTAGAGGATTAAAGAGCTCATTGAAGTATTCTCATCATCTTTCTGCTATCTCGGGTGGATCTATCAATGGCCTTCCTGTCTTATCATTAATTATTTCAGTGGGGTTGTAGCTCTCATCTCTTTTCCGCATATATTTAGCTACTTTAAAAAAAAAAATTCTGCAAGCTGTTTTCTCATTTTCTGCTAAAGAAAAAGCTGATATGACTTAAATAAACTCTATAAGCTAAGTAAATTTCGGAAGAGACAATAAAGCATTGAAGCGTTTACAAGTGGATGGAAAAAATAAAATATACAATAATCCTAATATTTACTAGCTCATTGATCAAGTAAACGTAACCCTGCATGGCGGAAGTCACGTGTTCTGTGTGTGACTGCGAGTGCGACAGTTTGTAAACATTGGCAGGCTGAAGGGAGGATGTTTGGGGGAGTAAACATTTCTAGTTATTTACCCTAATGTTTATCAAATGAGGCCTAGCCACTGAGATAATAATGGAGATACATGTACAAAATGTGATTCAGAGCATGCCGTTGTGCAGAACTGATGTAAGTATGTATAAATATTCTCCCGAGCGTCTGGTACTTATAATTATAATATATAATATTATATCTGCCAAACACTGAAACAGGTGTATCAGTCAGTGTGTAGAATGAAGAATGTGCTGTTGCTAGGCTATGATGTACTGTTGCTAGGCTATGATGTACTGTTGCTATGAATTAATAGCAACTAACAGTAAAGCTAAAATTAAAACGTGTGTGTACGTTTTAGTCCAGGAGCCGCTTACATGTGGCATGTGGGCCGTAAGGTCGTGGGTTCGAATTCATAACGTGAGTTTTGGTATTTAGTCAGTATTAATTAGTAATAACCACAACAATCTAGGTAGGGCAATCCTCCGAATAACGGCCACATATTATTGCGGCCAAAAACAGGGCCTTAGTCACATGTAAATTGCGGACTTCAGGCGACTTAAACTGCCACCACCGAGAGTATCTCCTGCGCCGCTATGAGCGGAGCGGGGCTCAACTAGATGGCTGGGACTCACGAGCAGAACTGCAGAAGATGCGGAAGCTGCTGCTCGTGAGTCCCAGCCATCTAGTTTAGCTCCGCTCGTAGCGGCGCGGGAGATACTCTTGGCGGTAGTCACCGGAAGTCCGCAGTTTAAGTCGCCTAAAGTTTGCAATTTACATGTGACTGAGGCCCTGTCAGGGTGTGTTTTAGGGCCGCTATAATATGTGGCCGTTTTTCGGAGAATAGCCCAATCTGGTAATCTTAGTTTCAGCTTCATAGCAAATGGGTCACCCCATAGTTGCTCTGCTCCTGTGCCAACAAAAAATACACAGAATGCTTATCACAGTCCCTTGTGGAAAGATTGACAGACTGCTGTCTCAGTATATGCACTAGTATACACACACATTAAAAGCATACAGTAGCCATCCGAAGTGCTAACACAAACAGTCCGACATTAGAAATGCAGTTCATCATCGATGGTAGCAGAAGTCACCAACAAATCAGCAGTTGCACACACGATCAATTTTAATCGCATAATAGCACCGCCAATGTTGCGACAACACGCATCATGCCATTTTCTGAATCTACAATTTACAACACCACATTGGTCGCAGTTGAAAAACATTCCAAATGAAATCCGTAGCTCACAGTTTCACGCCATGCACTCAACTCATAACCTGGGCGACAAAACTATATCCTTTCAGTCTACAAATGGAGTAAAAAGCAACAGCCACCATCTGGCAGAAGTTAAAAAAATTTCATGGCTCAAAACAGTGGCCGTGCCTAGAATCCATTTTGACCTGAAGTTTCACATACCAATGATAATAGGGATGCTAGTGAAGTTTCATGTACCGGGTTTTTACTTATAAAAACATCACAGAAAGAGTTTAAAATTACAAACCAACAATACCTTAACTCTTTGAGTCCCAGAGGGTTTAGCATCACAGGCCCAAGTGGTAGTCAAAGGAGACGTAAAATCGGCGCATCATGCGTTTATTGGGCTTCTAGGCAGTAACCTATGAACGTATGATGCGTTCCTTAGGACTCAAAGAGTTAATGAAGCCAATATGTCAATTCTTATCGGAGGTATTAACATTTTAGTGGCAGATATACCACCATGGACAATTTATAGTGGATTCTGACAAAAAACGGATTCCGAGCTGCATCACAGTAAAATGTAGGAATGAAAGACTAAATGTTTGCATTTATGGAAAAAGCTATTTTGTTTCTTAGTAAATCCCTTAGCAGCGATAAATTGTAGGAGTTAGGACAACAAGATGTGATTGACTAATTGTATATGACTATGTGCATTTCTCAAATACATATGATATAATATGGGTCTAATTAACAAGTAGCATCAGGCACCACCTTACTAGTTTTCAATAAACACATTATGAGTTAAAGATAAAAAGATGTTTGAAGTTAAAAAAAAATCCACTTAGTTGCACTTGGTTTTATTCCACACAGTTTGATCTGTCTCTGTATAATGGCTAGCCACCTCTTGAGAACAATGCACAACCTCCACAGCACTAGCAACAATTCATAGAGAACCTACAACTTTCTGACCATGAGGCAAATAGTCTGCAGCTAATCTGCAACAGCTTGAAGCTGCTCTTATACATGAATGGCACTTGATTCCTCAGAATTTGTTTCAGAGATTTGTGCGTTCCATGTGGATCAATTGATAGGCTGTTAGCAAAGCACACGGTGGACATACCACATAATGTTTATTGTTAGTTTTTTAAATGTACATTAGTAAACTTTATGTACAGCTTGTGTGTATGTGTGAGTGTGTGTGTGTATATATATATACACACACACACACACACCCATAGGTAGTCAAATAAATACACACACAGAGATATTTGGTGTTTTCTACACAAGTTTCCACTCAGATTATTGCAAATCATCGTTGTTATAAAGGCCTTCATTCAAGAATACCTGCAGTTCGGGTCACTGTTAGAACATCCACTTGCACAAAATATCAGAATGGCCACTACGTAACTGTCTTATTCTGCAGTAGCGCAATAAGCAAACCTCTCTCCTCAGTGTTTCCATGCCCGTCTGTGATGGTTTCTGAAATTCAAGTAAAATCTTTATTCATCATGAAATAAAACATGATGCCATTGATTTGCAGTCCATCTGCTCTGTTGTCCTGCCGAATTCAAACATAATTCATTTTTTTCTGTCAAAATTAATTTTATTTTGATCTTGCTGAAAGGTATTTTTATGTTCTCATTTAGCATAATCTGATTAGGTTATGATTGTCTTCTAATCTGAATATAAGATTTGTATTCTAATTTCTGTATGCTAATAATCTTTATAAAAATTAACTGTATATAGCATGTTTCTGAAAAGGAAAAAGTTAAATTTGAGAACTGTGCAGATGTTTGTTTCACTATAATGATGATTTAACCTTCTTTATTTACTGAAAATATTTGTTGAAACTTTCAGCTCATCACAGATGTTCTACACAACAGACTTTATGGAGATGTCAGTCAGGTTTGGCAACTTCAAGGACATATACTTGTGGCTACAGATGAAGGGAGGAAACTGTTTACATTCGACTGCAAGCCAGTTAACCAGCACCAGGTGAGCAGTAACACTGACATGTTTTTTTCTCATATGGTTTATAGAGTGAATAAGAATCGTGAGAACATCTAAGACAACCAGTGTGCAAGTACTTCTGGGAGTCAGTTAATAGAGACAGGATTGCCCACATCAAGAAAAATACAGTCATCTTTATTTTTTTTTTAATGTTATTGTCATGTTATGAGGCAAGAGAGTTTATAGAAGGTTGTGACTACTGGAAGATCAATGGTATTGATTATGAAATTTTTGATAATTTTGAAAGTTTTCTATTGGCCTGCTCTGAACTTCTTCATGAGGGAAAGGTTGACTGTTGTCAGCCATGATTCAGATGTTTGGCTGATTCCTTGTTCCATATGCTTCACTCTCAGACTTACTTCTGGTCCACATCATCTTTCCTTTCCACTATTCTTAGAATGAATTTAAAACTGGCCTTGGTATTGTTACTGCCATTTATTGCAGATAATTCATGAAAACAGTAACCATCTTGTGCATGACCTGACGGATAGAACACTTTAGTTGATTCTAACATTGCACAAGTTGAGCAGAAACAGTTGCAGAAGATGAGAAAAAAGTTGCCTGATTTATAATATAGTACATAAATTATACAAAGCACTAAAGAGTAAGAGGCAATGAAAAGAAATAGATAAAAATCACAATTTGATTTAAGACATTATGTGTGTACAATCAAGACTTTTGTAGGTGTATTTTAAGGAGAGACAAATACAACATACAAGAAAAAAGATTAATGCAGGATGACATGTTAAATGGCATAATCTGAAAAAAAACACAGACCTGATTTTAAATGGGGACTGTGTGGGTGAGTTAACTCTGTCAGCCAACATAACAAGCAGACAGGCTTACTGGGTCTGCAGCACTGGGCAGCAAACTGGTTCGTATTCAAAACCAGAAGGGTGAACATATCACCAAGTTCTAGAAAGAATTATTAAACAAAGGGGAGTGACCAACAGATCTGGTCAGAGCTGAGAGAAAAGACAAGACAAACATATAATCATGGTGCAGTTGGCACCATTACCACTTAAACTGCTGGCTTTTAAAATAGGAATGGAGCATTTATGGGATTGCTCTCTGTGCTCTGATGCAGTTTTTAATTCTGTTTGGGCAATCAAGGAAGAAATTTAAAAATTTGGAATATATATATTCAAGTTACATTTGTGATCATTTGGATAACTTAGAATGTACACAATAATTTTTCCCCAGGTATTTGCCAGCAAGTGTTTGGACTTTCCAGTTTTGTCAACACCTTTAGTAGATGTCTTGATGCTGTCCCCAGAACTGATTGTTTTGGTATGTAATGGCTATTTAATCCTTGTCTAATGTTGCTGTTTCTACACTTTATAATTGTCATAATCTGATTATTACAGTTACATTTTTTTTAAATATATTATATGTTGAAAATTCATTCTTGAAATAATTTATTGACTTCAGTAAATTAAGGAAATATGTTTAATCTTCTTCTTCTTCGTGTTCACCAGCTGTAAACTCCAGTGGCAAGTTCTGGTTGTTCGTCCACTTCTGGACTGCAGTCCTGATCCAGAACCTGAGTGTTGCCTGTGCATCCGTTTTACAGATCTGACTCATTTGTATGCAGACTGCTGGTTTCTTGCCTCTCAGGCAGATGCATTCCGACTTTGAAGGAAGCTTTCATTTAGTCGACTCTTACGACATGCTTTTGGGTAGGCAGTGGGACTATTCTTGTTTACCCTATAACAGGGCCCCGGGACCCACACTGGGAATATTTTTAATGATACTTGTATTTTGTAAATATCCCCTGCTTAATTTTCAGAATCTCCTAGAAAATATTAGATTTGTTGGCAACAGTTTTCTGTTCATTTAAAATCTTGTGCATGTTCAGCTGTCTTCCCTGCTGCTTTCTTCTAGGAGACATATTTATATCCATTTGATTCAGATAAACTAGTTGTAGATCTATGTGTGCTTGTAGAACTATCCCCTTGGCTAATTATTGAACTTAACCAGCATAAAAGGTAATTAGTAGTAGTAGATTTTTACACCACCAGGACATCACACAAGTGATAAACACCCGATAACACAAAGTGCCACCGTGTGGATCAGGATTACCATGGAGAGGTCCCAGAAACAGCGTTCGGTCATTAGACCATATTTATGGTTTGGGCTATATTGCGACCCCTGGCAAGAGCCAGGGTGGGGCTTCAAATAACGAAAAATTGTATCTCACAATGGGAGAACCGGGTTGTATATAAGTGGTAATGCAGAGTAGTAACTGTTGTGCTAACACAGCTCTGATACATAAAGCAGATTAGACATTCTTAACTTTATAGCCCTGTAAAGTGAATTATTGATTTCTAGGCAAAATGGACTATAGCTGTTCTTCATTACATTTATTTTTAACTGATTACTTCCCTCAGTAATCTCATTAACAATTTATAATGTGTTTTAAATACATTTGAGAGGTTAATAATAGGGACCTATGTTTTTAAAAGGATTTTCTCCTTGGCTCATGGGTTTTCTTTAAAGGGTTTCTGTTTAAAGGTTGATGATGTAACCAATTTACTGCTTGTTTCAGGTTGACACAGCTGGGCTCGCAATGTTCTGGAGATTTACCTCTGAATTTAGCTGGTTGCATGAAGGGAACATTCAGATTTGTACATCAAGGGGTGCAGAAATCATTAGTGTTGCATACGTTTCAGGGTGCAATACTCTGTTTTGGTGTGAAAAGCAGCCAGCAAAGTCACTGTCAGAGTTATCCTCAAACACGTTATTTACATTTTGCATATGTAAATGGGAGCTGTGTTCTGGTAAGTCACGTTCTGAAAGAGGCAGAGTATGGCTGTCTTCTTCTTCTTTTTCTTAAGCATTCTGAGTCCTTGAGGTTAATTGCTGCAGATATCCCCCACCTCAATGATCTCTCTGGTTGGCCTTCTCTTTCCAGATGGTGACACCAAGTGTTTGTAGGTCTGTCTGGATATTATCTCTCCATTGTCTTCTTGGTCTGCCTTTTGGTCTATGATCAATCAGCTACTGTCCTGGGGCATAAAATAATGACCTACCCATGCCGGTCAAGTAAGTCTGGTCAGATTCTCTTCACTTCTGCTAGACTGGATGGCCCTTTTCTTCTCAAAGAATGTTACTGCATTGTCTTCTGTTCACATTCTGCCCCTTTTTTAGCAAGTTCATCTATGGCTTAATTTCCTGGTATACCACAGTGGGATGGCACCCACTGGAATACAGTACACTTTTGGGCAGCCACCTTGCTAAGTTCAGATCTCAGGTGAAGGAGTTTACCAATGTTGAGGGCTTGCAGCACCAATAGTGCATCAGTGACACCAGTACTTATATTTTTCCTCTCATTTGATTTTCATATTATCGATTTGTAAGTGGCGGAGTTACTGTCCTGCCCTGTCTTGTCTTGCCACTGCCATGCATTCTGTCTCATCTTGATTGATAACTAGTCTCATTTTCTAAACTGCTCGCTTTAAAAGAGTTAGTGTTTTTACTGTCTCTAATTCATTATCTCTAATGACATCAGTGTTATCTGCACAACCAAGTAGTCTTCTTGTTTCACCTGTAGTGCAGTCTTCTTTCAGTTTCCTTTTAATTTTCTCTAGGGCCAGGTTGAAAAGAGAGTTGGGACAGAGCATCACCTTGCTTTAAACCAGATGTTATTTGAAAAGGGTCTGACTTTCTGTTTTTATATGTTACTATATCACGCCTGTTTTTTTGTATGGTAGTGAATCTTAGAATGTGAGCAGACAAATTAAGAAGAGTTTGGAAACAGCTGAGATGTAGTTCTTCAGAAGAATGTTGCGAATACCTGGGACTGCCAGAATAATCAACATTGAATGCCTGGAAATGACTAATGAAAGTTTAACATTATATACAACAGTGAAAAGGAGACAAAGTTCTTTGGTCATTTGATGAGAAAAGGAGCACTGGAAAATATCGTGACGACTGGAAAGATCACTGGCAGAAGTGGCAGGCAGACCCAGAGAAATAATGGTGGATGGCTTAAGACAGTGGCATGGAGGAATATCATCAGTAGAATTGATCCAGAACTCTAAAGTCAGAGATCTGTGGCGACGCATGAACACCTACGCCAGCTGGCAAGGCATATGATGATTTTGACATTATTAGTGTCTTCCATACAAAGTTTAGTCATGATGATTAACTTCTTTAGTATTCCTGAGTCCTTCAAAACATTCTATAAACTGTTTCTATGTGCACTGTTATGTGCTTTTTTAAAATCCACAAAAAATATTTTGTACATTTCTATATTCCCAATTTGGCTTTGTTATTTGCTGTAAAATGAATATCTGATCTATTGTTGATCTTTACTATGGGAAACCTGCCTGGTAATTACCCCATATATCTTCGACATGGTTTTAGCCTGCTTAGCAATAGTATCTTATAGCTTGTAGACAATAGTGATATTCTTGTATAATTTTTACATTTATACTTGTCTCCTTTCTTTAAAATGGATAACACTAATGACTCTTTCCACTCATGGGGTAATTTCTCTGACCTAAAAACTTTGATTAATTCACATATCTTTCAATGTAACGCATGACTGAATTTTAAGAGTTTAGCAGCAATTTCATCAGAATAGTTACTTTATTATTTTTTAAGCCATGTTATGACTAGTGTCTTAATGTAGAAGGTCCTTTGCTCTCATCATGGTCTGCCTGAATGAAACTAGGTCTCTTGTCAGCTCTCCCCCCTTTGTTTACTTTCATATTCAAGGAGTCACTTATATCATGTGCTTATCTTCATACTGGTCGCCCCCTGCTCCTCCTTCCTGGTACCATGCCTTCTGCTATCATTCTTTCCAATCCGTTGTGGCATTTGGTATGACCAAAATATTTCAGCTTCCGATAACATGCTGTACTTCTTCAAAATCAAGCTCTTCAGTATTTGGTTCACTTGTTAGAATCACTTAGTGTGAATAGTATTTACTGGAGTTTTGCAGTTAATAAATTCAGCAATGTATTTTTTCCATCTGTTACATATTTCCTTGTTATAATACATTTTTTTGGCTGTGGGGTCTCAAGGCATGGCGTCCGCCTCGAATGCAGAAGGTCCAGAGTTCAGGCCCCCATGAAGGCTGAAATCCTTTATGTGGACTTTTAGTAATTTTCCCTAATCTCCAGGGTAGTAATATCGGATGCCTGTGTTTATTGTTACACATGTAAAAAATCCCTTGGCAGTTGGAAATCAAAAAGAGTAGCCTAGGCATCTCTGCTCTGGCAAAACTTTGAGTTAAAAATTTACCCAAAGTATTTCAGGATCCTCGCCGGTGCCATGGAGTTCGTGCACTGCACTGAGATTCTTCAGACTTAGACTTGAGTTAGAAGTAGAACAGAGCACTTATGGGTGTCTACCCCTTGTGCCAAGATGTTGATCTGTTGTATAAACCTAAAACTACTAAATATTATGGCTACGGCTAAGATTATCAAATGAGGCATCATTGTTAACTGAAACTAAAGGAAAATGTTTTTAACCAAATCCCTGATTTGTTCCCATTGACATTTTTAGATGTTTACATGCACATATAACACTGGCTCTTAAAATGATGTTTGGAAATAGAAAGGCTTGTTTTCTGTTAAAATTGCTACAATGCATTCATAATTTTCATCATAAAGTATTTCTCATGTATTGTTAGACATCATTTATTTCATTGTTTGCTTCCTTTTCTTCCATTCCAATTAGATATGAATCCTCAGAAGATAAGAGAGAACACACTCAGTCCTCAGTCTTTATCAAAAACTGTCCACCCGCAGATGTTCATGCCATGTCCAGTCATTGTTTGTTCATTGCCACACAGTAAGTATTTGAACAAATATGACATATGTAACTTATACAAGAAAACTTAATAATGATATCAGCCAGAAGGTATTTGAAGGGCTGACAAATAATGGCTGCATGCCCAAGAAGTTAACATGTTAGAACATTTATTACAGATTACACTTTAAAAAAAAAAAAATCAGATCACTTCTGTTGTCATCTTTACAACACAGGTCAGCTTCAGTGTTGATGCCCTTTAACACAAGCTGTCTGTCACCAGAAAAGCACCACCCTCTTTCTAATCTATCTCTATGTTTTCCTTCCATTTTAACTTTGTCTTCTCTCAGGGGCCCTATTGAAAGGAAAACAATAATAGACCCACTGCCTACCCAAAAACATGTCGTAAGAGTCGACTAATTGGGAGCTTTCTTCAAAATTGGAGGAACCAGCAGTCTGCATACAAATGTCAGATCTGTAAAACGGATGCACACACAATACTCAGGTTCTGGAACAGGACTGCAGTCCAGAAGTGGACGAACAGTCAGAACTTTTCACCAGAGTTTACAGCTGGTGAACGCGAAGAAGAAGAACTTTGTCTTCCTCTTGCATGTCTTTGTTCCACTTATTTTCTTAATTGTTTCTACAGCATACTGTGTCCATTATTTTTGGTATCTTAGTTTGATAATTATCTCTTTTTTTCTTGTTTCTTTAAGACTTGTTGTCATGTCTCTCCATGTTATTTCCATTTATATCTTTCAATTGTTTTTATAAAATAACATTTCAACAGCATACAATTTTTTTTTCTCATATTTGCTTCTTGTTGTTGAAATTCAAAAAAGAGAGAAGTGAAATATTTCAGCCACATTAAAATACTACACTTTTTAATAAAAACAATACAACCATAAAGTGATACTTGTGTGAAGATAACGTCTAGGGATAGATGAACAGCAGTTAGGAGAGTGCACAAAGGCACCCCAAAAAATTTATTTTTTGGAGATTTACTCCGCCCATTGTAATCAGAGTATAAATTTCTAGAGTATATATCATATACTCACTTTCGTTGAAGGAGATAGGATGGATTGGAGACAATTTGTTAACATTATTAAGAATTAGAGTTGTCGGAGTGCCAGACAGTATCACTAGATGCCAGTTACAGGCGCTAGAATCAGTTTACAAAGTATCAAGAGATAAAGAATGTAACGCGACATCAAGAGTGTATAACTATAGAGCGAAATCAGCTGTCCATCAGAATATCACTGAGGTTATTTGTCATATTATTGAGTTATCACAATAAAAACGGTACATTGAAAAGAAGAGTTGTTTCGCAACATTTTTTTATACAGGCAGCAAAGTGAGGCGAGAAGCATGCAGATAGCAAGACATCATCATCATTACCACTATCGACACGACCATCTTTCTCATCTATAATCTTTCAGTTGACTCGTCCTGTAGCAAAACTAAAGATGAACCTGGTTGTGACATCAACGTACACAAAGAACAGAAGTGTGCTACACCATTACTCATTGTGATGTTGACGTATGATTATCAGTTGAATTGTTTGTTTATTGTGATTGCACCTTCAGCTTTGAACTAGTTATTTCCCCATTACTGTTGTTAGTACAAAAGTGATTTTTTTTCTGTTTGTGATGTTTATATTTTCTAATGTAAAAAAAAATCTAATTAGATTTCATTCAGAGCAAGTAACAATACACGTGGTCTACAGTCCTCCTTCAAACAAGCATTTAAGCCTTTTTATTGGTGAAGAGTATATTGATTGTCCAATCGAATCAGCTAATGATGTTGTGGACTTTCAGGAAGCTGTAATCTTGAACTTATCAGTTCTAATGCAGGTATACTGTTCAAATCATCTAATAATTTTTTTTAAATGTATCTCTGACAGCAAAGCAATTCTTTCTTCTAGGTATTCATTAGTGGTCTGTGACTCTGCACCATCCGCTGGATGTATATTAATAACTCCATCAGTTTATTTCTTGAATTAGATGTTGTTGAAAAATAAACTATTCTTGCTATTTCATATTATCATAATACTATATTATTTTTGTTGTGGCACAGTAGCTTAGATGCATTTGCTTCTGGCTGAAAAAGATCTGGTTCATCTAACAGTATTACCTGTTTGGACCAAGTTTAAAATGGGAGCTGGGTAAATGAAGATGACCAGCACAATATTGACCGGGTAATCCATTAAAGCTGGGTTTGTTTTTAAATATGGATCTAGCACCATATACTAGATGCACATTGCTTTCTTATGTCCACATTTAGCTTTGTTCTTCACATTTTCTTTAAACCAATTTTTTTTTTTTTACAGTCTATCTGTTAAAGATTTACTGTTTTTATAATTGGAGCAAATAGATTACTTAAACTTTTACTAGTCATCCCTTTGTGGGATACAATTTTTTGTTATTTTGAAGCCCCACCTTTCTATGAAAATTAACCCTCACCTATAATGTGCTTTCATCGGAATGGGGTCCAGGAGTACATGCACGTGAGTTCAATATTCCCTCAGCAACGTCGATGGCCATTCAAATTTAAAACAACCCGTAGACGGACAAGGAGAACTAACAGGCAAGCACGGTGGCTGAGGAAGCGACTGAAATGTTCAGCTTAAAATATGGCGACTACTGGAACTGCGCTTCGTTCAGTCAACGCCGATCCTTTTTGAATTTGTACATTTTCCTGTACACACTCAACAGGATGCAGAGAAGAGAATCCTTTGTGTCATCAACGGTGAAAATTCAGACGAAGCAGATGCAATAATCTATACAGACGGATCCATTATACGCCAAAGAAGAAGCGCATGGGCATGTCCTAGTGGGTGCCTAAACAACCAGCAGCATGACGATGGAGGTGATGGCAGTGACTTTGCCTGGCTTGAAACACAAAAATACACCCGCATACTAGTGATTCAATGAGTATACATGGGCAGCTAACACATTTGAAATAACTGTGCGTGGAGTTACACGCAGTTTGAAAGAGCTGACAGGTGTTCCGCTCATACACAAGTGATGTTATCAATGCCCTCAGAGAAATGGGAAGGATAGAGGACTTTGGTGGCAGTGAATACATCACTCTGGCAGACTAATTAAGGTAGATTCAGAGCTGTTAATCAACATAGAACTGGTACTATTGCCATCGGACGTTGGGGTTCATACTGAGGGGAGGATCTGAGCACCTATGGACATGTCCGGAGTGCAATGACGATAACCCAACTAAAACTAACTAACTAACTAACTAACTTGGCTCTTGCCTGGGTGCCGCAATATAGCCCGGCCATAAATATGGCCATTGGCTGGCGGTTTCCAGCCTAACGGGTGATCCTCATTGGTGGCACTTTGATCAGTTGTTGATCGCTTGTGTTTTTGGGGTAAAATGTACTACTACAACTAAAATGGAGCTAACACATTTGAAATAAAGTTACAGTTTTGTTGTTTGTCCATCTGTTTCAAAAGCCACTGCTCTCCAGCGAAGGAATGAGTGCCAGAATGCACATTGACATGCAGTGAACTCCTCATCGATATCAAGGATAAAAGTCTTCACTGAGGTCTTAAGATTATCTTTTAAATGTTTCTTTTGTCTGCCTTGGGAGCATTTTTCTTTATGCGATTCTCTGTAAAATATTTTTAGGCAGTCTTTGGTCTGACATGTGGACTACATGACCTACCTGGCATAATTATCATCATTTAAAAATTATGTAGATGCTGGTCAGGTCAGCTGTTTCAGGGACAGTATTATCATGGATTGTTTTTGCCATTTGATGTTTAGCAGTGTTTTATAGCCAGTTATGTGGAAGTGGTTTACCCTGTTGCCATGGTGGTAGTTAACAGTCCATGCCTGGCATGCATTCAGAAGTACTGGACACACAATTCCTATATCCACTTTCGGTTCAGCTTTGTTCACAGGCATTTGCCACTTCTATCAAGAAAGTTTGAGTAAAGGTCTGCCACAGGCATTGCTAGCTTTGGACTTTTATTTTCAGAGTGAAAAGATGCATGGAACTGTCCTTAGTGTTTGGCCATTGGTCCTGATGTCTTTTTCAGGAAGTATTGTTTCAGGTAGTTATAGTAGTACCGTAGTGGTTATACACCCTGGTCGCCAATAGTTGATGGCTTCAGACAAGTAATTAGCATTTGTTTATTGTTGTTATTTATTTAAATTCCACATACTTGGTTGTAGACAAATGAGTGACCTTTGCTGACTGTTTTATTTTCATCCCTAGACAGAGCCAGGTCAAGGTGATTGTGGTGTGCGGTCAGACTGTATGAATGGACAGGTTGCAGCATTGAATTCCAGTGGGCAGTTGAAAGTGTACACTTGCAGTTCAGGTTAATTGATTTATCCATATTATTTTAATAAGGAATAGGTTTTTACACCAAAATATTCAGCTGAGAAGAGAATTTAAAGACGTGCCCAACGCCTAATGTTGCTATCTTAGTTCTCTTCCAAATATTTAACCCCATACCATGATGATTTTTTGCTGAATTAGTTATCTTGGTTAACACCTTCTTTAGTGCTTGTGTATGTGTGTGTGCATGCACACGCTCATGTTTGTTTGTTTATCTCTTTAATTCTCAGCAGCTTAAAATCAGTTTGGATGCCTCTTATGTGTTGCAGATTCAGGGAAGATGCAGCTTTCACAAAAAATGGTTACTCTGTCAGATGAGTATGGAAAAGTTTATCAAGGGGATTCAAAACACTGGTTTCTGCATAGAGGACGTATAGGAATTATATGTAGCAGTGCAGTTAGGTAAGTGCTGCAGTGTGTTCATAAATAGAGCATTTCTGTAGTAGTGGCAGTAGTATCTTCTTCAACAGTCAGCTGCAATGTGTTCATAAATAGAGCATTTCTGTAGAAGTGGCAGTAGTATATTCTTTAACAGTCAGCTGCAATGTGTTCATAAATAGAGCATTTCTGTAGTAGTGGCAGTAGTATCTTCTTCAATAGTCAGCTGCAGTGGCCATAAAAGGGGACTGATTAGGAGTTTGCTGAAATTGTATGTGTTGGGTCAAATAGCACAAATATTGCAGCCTAGCTGTAAACCACATTATTCAGTGTTAATTCTCCTTTTAAAGGTGAGCGCAAAAGAGGAAGTATGTTTTAGCATCAGTTTTGGAGAATAAACGATGCATAACATAGATTGTGTAATATAGGTACTGAAATTTTTAGGTATAGTAAGAAATAAAAGGGTGAATTTTGAGTAACAAGAAAAATTGAAAATATAGTAACTACTGCATTAAGATTGCAGAGGACAGAAATAGAAAAACAATGGCAAGTTCCTTAATGATGTGATGGTTATAGATTGCTAGCTTCCTAATATAGAGTGACATTATCCTAGGCATTTTAGTGGAAGGGAAACAGGAAGTGACCCACATGGTTGGACAGATCTTGGACACTGTAGCTCACCTGGAGATATGGTTTGCATTTACATATCTAAGGGCCACAGTAAACAGAGCTCACAAAATTAGTTGACAACAAGGACTGATGGCCTTATTTGCTTTCCAGTCACAATAAAATAATAAGTTGTCAGTATTGATAAAACTAGGATGTTATATTTACTGACATCATCGCTTGTTTCATTCCACAGGAAATAATTACTGGAGTTTGTGTATTCTGTTATGAAGGGAAGTTTCATTTTGTATTATATTTGTTATTATCATAGATGGTATAGAAATTAAAATATGGTAATGTTCCTTCAGTCTCTTCAGGGTGGAGGATGGTAAACAAGTGAGCAGATGCACACACAACTGTTTACACCAGGTCCAGCAAGTGATCACAAGCAGCTCACCAGTTTTCTTGGCCTGGCTTCTGACACCTGACCACCTGTTTGCTTTAAAAGTAAGCTTAGATAAAGATAATCACAGTATTTTACATTTAATGGAGTTCTATGCAGGTCTGCAGACACAGGTAATTTGAGTTGATGGATTATTCAGTATGTGTATGTTACAGTGAACATTTTCCTCTCCATATTGTATCTGTCAACATTTGTTGTGAGTCAATCTCTGATAGTTTTTATAATATGCTTGCAGTGAAATGACGAGAGAGAATCAAAGATTGAACTTTCTTTTCAGAGGATCACAGATTGGGTACATGGCAGGCCTGATCTTTTCAAGCATTCATCTTTCACACCACAATTGTATTCCCTCTAGAAACGTTAATAAAGATATCTGATAATAAAACATAGCTTGTCTGACACCCTGAGAATTAATGATTGCACGCAACAAGGAACCAGTTTGAAACATACGGCACATATGCAAAACATTTCATTTTAAACATTTGGCTGTGAATCCTGATGTTTGTGAAGATGTTTCATGAAAACTCGTAAATATTGTTCTGCGGAAGAATACTAGCAATTTACTGCAAAGCTAAATAAAATTAGTATTGTAAAGGTTGTGAAAGAGGCTATGGCAGCTTATCATTTGTGAGCAGTCAATTTTGAGCACATTATGGGAGGGAAAAAAACTGGATCCATGTGAAAACTAGAAAGATAAATATTTTTTTAAAAGTATCCAGGAACCATAAGTTGCTTAACCCTTAGGCTCGGTACAATGGATATCACACCCTTTGGCCTTGATTCCATGATAGATACCATAAATCTGGTAGAAATGTGGCTTTTCTACCTACCCCAGGGCATGAACCTGAACCACAAGGAGTTCGTCACCAGGTCGCTGCGAAGTCAGGTTTAGCCAACTATGCTTATAAAGGTTTATAAAAGGAAAGATAAAAGTGAAAAACAATTTTATTTGTGTGTCCTTTAGAGGATGTTGCAGAACCAACCGCAGCATTTTTGGCTGTTGTGGTTTTTCTAGTCAAATTTTATTTTCAGTAGTTTTGCATTTGCTTTCTGAACAGCCAGCTTTTGGTACCACTGTTGAAATAAATGCAAGAAAATAGTCCTCAGCTGAGATCGAACCAGGCACCCCGGCATTACAAAGCGTATTCACAATGCCTAAGCCACGGACTATGACTATGTATAGCAGTACTATATATAGCAGTAAAAGATTCTGAAGTCTTTTGTCATGAGCTGGAATGGTGTCAGAGATAATATTCTTAAGGTCATGCAAGATGCGAAGAAGCCTGACTGTCCATTCCAGTTAGCAAGGCAAATGATGATGATGTTTTATGCCTGCAATAGAATCCAATGTATAATGACTGTCTTTTCATAGGGCATTGAAACACAGAACAAAGAAATGTATACAGCTATTGACAAGTTGCCTAGTGATCATCTCTTGCAGACAGAAACACTGAGACTTGCACATTTACATGAGGTAAGTACATCATCCTGTAGGTTTATTACATTCGTTTCTTTCCCACATAGAGCAATTTCATTCAGATATTACATTTCACTAAAATACTTAAATATCATTAATTTTTACAATATGTTTCATACATGTTGTAACAGTCTTATGAGACTAGGTGAATTGCAAAATATTGTAAAATTCATTCTCTTCTTCTCTAACTGTCAGATTAGTGATAAGAAAGGATTATCATCACAGCACTCTGGACAGATCCATAGGTGTTACGAATTCCTCCTCAAGAGTTCTTTAAGTGTAAAATGACTGATGTCGCCTGTTCTGTGTTGGTTTATGAAATGTCTTGTTCCCTTAGTGAAATGTTCATTTCTTGCATAAATCCAGCTTGGTTTTTTTAAAGCATATATATGAGTCACTAATAATGCATTGGTGGGTGAACTTTTGAGTACCAAGCCATGCTAAAGCCCTTGTTACAGCCATAATTTCCATTGTAAGGCTACTAGTTGTTAAAGCAAAGGTACCATTCATCTCCTTGATGGTTTCCCCCCTTGAGCTTACTGTATATGCCCATGCACTTCGCTTGTCCCTAATTACTGGCCCATCTGTTCACCTTCATCTGTGTTTTCATCAATCAGTGTTCTGACTAAAGTGTTAACAATGCCAGGAATCTGCTCTCTACAGCTTTCATCAAGTCTGATATGGACTGTAATATTAATGTTTGGAGAGAGAGGCATAATTATCCATTCAATTCCAAAATTAATGTCAGTAAGGAGGCAAACATGTTCGATGGCATGCTCAGCCCGACCCATCCAGGATTTGCCTAGTTAGAGTCTACTGGTTTTTTGGGGGGGGGGGGGGGGGTTGAATAATTCCTCATAAAGTGGGTATCGATGGTCTGACTTCACTTTGAGGAAAGCAGCAGCCCTGGATAGCTAGATTCTGTTTTCCATTGTGGGGAGTAACTGTCAGATATACACAGTTTACTTTTTTTTTGTGTTCTGACATTGTTAGTCAAGATCTATTTACTTTGTAAATCTGATTTTTTTCTTTGCTGGACCATTTAGGAATTGTTGTGTACTTGGGTACTTTGATAACAGCAGATAGCAGATGTATCACAGAAGTTCAATGTGGACTGGCTCAAGCAAAGGCAGTATTTCACTAAATGAAGAATATTCTATGCAATCTTTGTCTATTGAGGTTAAAAAGAGACCTCTGAAGAGCTACATATGTAAATCCCATCTCAATGTACCGATTTCATCTTAGTGTTCACCAGCTGTAAACTCCAGTGGAAACTTCTTCCTGTTCATCCACTCTTGAATTTTGGTCTTGATCCTGAACTTGAGTTTTGCATTGACATGCAGTTTACAGATCTGGCTTATTTGAAATGCACACTGTTCCTTGCCTCTCAGGCAGATTCACTCTGATTGTGAAGAAAACACACCTGAATAATTACTTCCTGTGACATGCTTGTTAAGGAGGCATTGGGTCTATTCTTTGTTCTCCAAAATGGAGCCTTTAACCCACACAGGGAATTTACAGAAATGAATCAGGAGAGTTGCCAGTTTGGTGAAAATTTATGTGGAAGGGGCAGATATGTATATATATATTTTTTTTAGAGGCAAATGGAGTAAACACTCTGGATGGAAACAAATAATAATGAAGAAGTCTTGAAAGAAATTAATTCATGAAGGCAACTGATTACCAACATCATAAGGAGACAATCTACATTCTTTGGTCATGTCATGGAAAGGAGAAAACTGGAGTACATTGTGACGGTGGAAAAGTTGTAGGGGAAAAGAGGCTGAGGGAGACCGAGAGAAAAGATGCTGGTCAGTTTGATTTTCTTGCATGAAAGATTGTATCAGAATTAGTTGAAGCTACACGAGTCAGAAGGCTGTGGATAGACATGACTATCAATGTCCCATGGTGTAATGATACTAAGTTCCATTTGGCTTTCACCTAGGGTTTCCACTCTCTACCACCATGCTTCTATATTTTTCTAAATATTAGCCAGACGGTCCCAGGAAAACAAATATAGCTACTTCGTGGCATAATGCAGAAGGACACTGCTGTGCATTTATAAATACCGTCAGCCTAGAGTAGTTATTCTCACATCTCAGTGTCCACACTTGAACTACATATAGACTTTCTTAGCAACGCAGCAGTTAAACTCTTATACGCTGAGATTCTCCAGACTCAGGCCTGATTTAGAAGTAGAAGGGAACACTTATGGGTTACTACCCATGTGCCATGATGTTTATCTATTGTTTAATCCTAAACCTAAACACATCATATAGACTATATTTAACATATTCCATACTATGACTGTCTTCTTTGACATATGGTTCACAACTTGCTGAGAGCTCGCGTCTCAACTTTCCTTAATGGTCTTTTCAGCCTTGGGTATTCCATGGTTCATTTTCTCCCCATTTCTTTCATTTGTTGACAAAGACTTTAGGTTTTTTTTTAAATTATCTTTTTTTTAAAAAAAATAATTTGACATCAGCTTGATAGCAGTTACTCTTTTTCAAGATTAGTGGAACATGCAGGAAACTGAAATTTCTTGTAATATGTAAGATTATTGACACAGCTGAACTTCTTTCTGTCTACAGCTTAGGATGTGTGGATATAACCAGACACACATCAAGGAGCTTGAACAGCTAAAAGACAAGTGGAACAATGTCAGACACTTGTTACATCATTCGCATGTATCAGCTGTAATAGGTATGCTTCTTATACGTGATTATACCCACACCCAACATTCACAAACCTTACAGTAAGATCCAATGTATACTAAATTGTGTATGTTAAATGTATACTAAATAGTGCAAATTATTTTTGTAAATAGTGAATATGTGATATATAAGTTCATAGTCCGCAAGTTAATGTAACAGAGGTTGTAGTTAGAATATCATAAAGTGGTTAATTTATATTTGATGTTGATGCTTGACACCATATTTACATTATCTTACTCTATTTCTATTCATTTTCGTCCAGAAGTGTATACTAAATAATGTTTAGATAGTAGTTTCAACACATTTTATACCTGACTAATTTACAAAGGAAAACCCACTATTTAAAAATACACTAAATTGTTTGACCACATATTTTTTTAAACTATGATGTGTGGACATTTTTGTTTCTGCAAGCCAAGTTTGTAAAATGCCAAGTGTTCAGCTTTTTCCCTATCTCATTAGCCATGAAGTAATGACTTGAATTAAATCATCTTTTTAAAATCATACAATTGGTACACGTGAAGTGTGCCAGTTACTTGCGATTTTTTCTATTGCTAAATGACACAAAGTGTATTTCATCTTGTACAGCTCCATATCTGGAAGACTACTGGAGGCTAGAGAAGTTATCTCAGTCACTTCTGGACTCTGAGACTGTGAGTGCTCTCTCAACTGATATTCTTATTGAAAGTTGCAACCAGGTTTACTGTCAAGTTGTTGAATTAATGCTCTTACCTCTTTTTTTCTCCCTGATGTTGTACAAATAATTTACTTAAATCACAGTATGTCTTTCATAATGTGTGTGGTGCCCTAGAGGCTGATCTACAGGCCCAGAGGTCTTTTGGTTCGAATCCTCATCAGTCATATTTTGGAACATAAAAATTGACCTTGGGCCCCATGTCAGCCTAGCCTAAAATTGGTTTCAGGAAATGTCATGAGAAGTAAAGGCAGACAGGCGGGATGTTGACCACATTGCCTGAGTGCAGTTGACCTTTAAAAAAATATGTCTAGCATCATATGCCAAATCCAAAATAAAAATAAAAAATAGCAAAATTGTTTTCCTTTGTGACTGCATGCCAGTCCTCCAGGCGACTCAGAGGGATCCACAAGATAACATAGAGAGAGAGAACTGACCCGCCAGCTAAATAAACTCTCCAAAAACAATCAAATCGTTCTCCAGTGGATCCCAGTTCATTGCGGCATACCAGGAAATAAGTTAGGAGACAGACTTGCAAAAAATTGAACAAGGGAGAAACAACACACACCCATTCATTACCATTACCAGAAATCATAACACTTATCAAGGGAAAATACTAGGAATTATGGAGAGAGCAAACTAACAGTAAACATCCACAAGATCCCATCAGCAGACTCAACAGAAAGCATCATGCAACAATATTCCATCTACGAACGGGACACTGCAGGTTCAACTACCACATGCCTAAAATAAAGATTGTACAGTCCCCACAGGGTGCCTGTCAAACAGGATCACAAACACCTGTGCACATTCTGCAGACCTGCCCATTCTACCTACAACTTGAAAAAGACACCTGGCCTCAAGAGCAAAGTGTGCAGAGGAAGATATAGGGAACCATGAAAGACCTTCTGCTGACATGCTAGTTCATAGAGGCAGCACATCTGATGGTCTGATCTGAGCATATGAAACTGAATGCAAAGAACAAGAAGATATGCCTGATCCGCCAGTGACAGGTAAAGGCTCGTTTAATTTATTTAACTGAGAAGAATTGTCTGGGAAGGAAAGCCAAGAAGGAAGGGAACTGGCTGCCCTACATTAAATGGCATAGCCTAACACTTCGACTTCAGCCAGTAAGGTGAATACCACAGCCCACCTGCTTCAATAGGTGCTTGGAGCCATAATAAAATCCAAACTGCATCAGGCATTAAAAAAAATAACAGATAGGTAGAAGATGTCAAAATCAGCTTCTCCTACGATATAAAAATGTGTGCAAGTGGGGCATGAATGATTTGGTTATTGAGGTAGATTAAGTGAAAAAAATGCCAAGGGCTGTGTTGCACTGAGGGAGAAAATCAGGAAGGGAATAGGAAGCAAGGAAATGTTGATTGAGAGCTGAGCGTCTGAGAAGAAGCAAACTAAATATATCTGTTGGCAACAACGGTCCTGAAATACCATGCTCTGATTGTGAGAGAGATTTTAATGTTGCCGGACCTTGCTAGTCACACTCACCATCGCCATGGGCTGTAATTCCCATGCCCCATCCATGGCATTTTATAACACTATCCTCTGGAAAGATCCAACCAACAGTTCCACTTCAAATATAGTAATTCTGTATAACTACTTTTATCTTTAACTGTGACTTTCCGTAATAACAGAAAAAGGTTCATTTCTGAGCTTAGCATTTTTATTAGAGTTCCCACAAGCAAGACATGTCATTAACTATGATTAAAATCTTCTTGGTATCCATGTTTTCATCAGCAGACATTTCTTCGTGAATAACAGCTTCTTGGTATCCAAAAATTATTCAAGCTTTCCATGTTGTCATGAGACTTAGCAATCTTCTTGGTTTGTTGTCATCAGCAACATTACTAAAATCTTCCATCCATGTTTTCAAGACAACTAAAAAAGCTTCTTGGTATCATGTTGTCATCAGCAGACATTACTAAAATCTTCTTGGTATCCATGTTGTCATCAGCAGACATTACTAAAATCTTCTTGGTATCCATTGTTTTACATCAGGTATCATGTTTTTCACACATCAGACATTACTAAAAGCTTCTTGGTATCCATGTTTTCATCAGCAGACATTACTAAAATCTTCTTGGTATCCATGTTGTCATCAGCAGACATTACTAAAAGCTTCTTGGTATCCATGTTGTCATCAGCAGACATTACTAAAATCTTCTTGGTATCCATGTTTTCATCAGCAGACATTACTAAAAGCTCAAGTAAACTCTGCTCAACAAATGATCAAGACCCTCATGGAAAGTAGAAGTTTGTCTAAATCTGTCTTCCATGCAAAACTGGTTTGGCTTTCTGAAGTTCACCCTCATGAGCTGCTAGATTATCTGTGCCAGGGGATTACTGTTGACTGTGGTAAGTCTTGTTTTTTTTTTTTTTAATTCTTGCACTGCCATTGGCAAAAAAAATTTTTAAAAATATATATATAAATTAGGACTACCGAATAGTGATTTTCACTATTCGGCAGAGTACAAAATGACAGGACCAACTATTCGGCTGAATACGAATAGTGTATTGTGTATAAAATATATCTAAAAAAAAAAAACACACACATTCATGATGTGAAATGTACGCTGAACTTTTACTTCACATAAAGTAGCACAGAATAGTCATCTTCTACTTTAGAATTCTGAGCCCTTGAGGTTTACTGCTGCAGGTATCACTGTCTCCATTCATCTCTCTGGCTGGCCTTATCTTCACAGTTTGTGACACCAGTTGTTTGCAGGTCTGACTGGACATTATCTCTCGAACTTCTTTTTTTGTCAGCCTCGTGCCCTACCCCCATTCCTCTCTCATGTGTCTACAGTTTTACTTCTCTGTCATCTGACATTCTTTCAATATGCCCCAACCATTTTAGTCTGTTAGCTCTCATGATGTCAGTGATCAATGGTGATTTAAACAGATTATGTGTTGCATTGTTTCTTCTCTTTCTCCATTCTCCGCTGTAATCATCTTTGATGGGTCCAAAGATTTGTCATAAGACTGTTTTCGAAAACCTGTAATAAAGCCTCATCTCTTTTATTTCTGCTTCAAGTTTCAGAGCCATATAACACGCCTGGTCTTATCAACGTTTTGATTTTGGTGTTGTGAGACCGCACTTTGACTTTAGCAGATTTTGAAGGGCACAGTATACTTTTTTTCTAAATTGTATTCTAGATTGTATTTCTCCTCTCAGCATGTTGGAGCAGTTGAAATTTGCACCCAAGTAGTTATATGTTCTCATTCGTTTGATTAACATATTATCAACTTGAATGTGGCCGGAGTTTAAACTCTTTCCATGTCTAGTTAGTATTCGTACAGAATAATAAATATTTAAAAAGATTTTATTTTTTTGCATCCTTCAGTCAGTCTGTGGTAACTAATAACTAGGAATGAAAGAATCCTAAGTATTATAATAAGTAACTAAACTTGGAAATTGTCACTGACAGCTTTGTTAATGCATGAAAGCTGCATTAGCTTTCAACAAAACCAATCGTTTCATGTTGTCGGTATTAGGGCCGTGTATGCAGAAGCGGGTGTAAGGTAACTACTATTCGTATTCGGCCCGACCGCAACTATTAGGCTGAATATATACATACACACACACATATATATATATATATAAATATATGTATATATATATATGTGTGTGTGTGTGTGTGTGTATACACACATAAACACACACACACACAACACACACACACACACACACATATATATATATATATATATATATATATACACACACACACACATATATATATATAGTTGGAACTTTTTAAAACATTTAACAGGCGTTAGACAGTATGTGTACTATTACTATATAGTACTTATTCTCTGACAGTTGAATTTGCCTATATATGGTAAACCTTTTTTTTTTTTGGTTGGTCTCCATTGAAGAGGGGTTTTAGTGAACTTTGACAGTTAAAAAACCCTGACTTTGAGCTTCAAGGTTGTTTAAAAAAAATGTAATAGGGGGAGGGGTGCAGCTTTATTATTTTTCTTGATGTCAGTTTTGATATTCAGCAAATGTAAGTCAAAATGTTTCTTATATTTAAGACTCACCCAGGCTTAAATTGTTATAATAAACTTTCTGGAACAGTAAATTCCTTGTTGCAAAGCATCAAGTTAGCTACTTTAAGTAACCATGTCACCATTGAAATATAATTTGTATATGTATTCCATAGATGTTGTCCTTCCAAGTGAAATGAAGAAATGGCAGTCTCTTCTGGGAATGGATCGGGGTGATCTCTTGAAATTTGAGTTTGCTTGCAGATTGTTTTTTCAGCTTTTACCTGCAAAACTGGTATGCTAATTTTGACATTGTTTGTCTTGTTTTTCTTGTTATTTCTTCTTCTTTTACCTCTTCTTTTCTTCTTCTTTTTTCTGCTGCTGGTTTTTTCACATATTGCTTGTGTTGGATGTGATTGCATTGTGTCTGTTTACATCAAAGCTGTGATATTTGCATCTTGTGGCTGGCATTTCTGACTTCACAGTATTTGCTGCATTAACTCCTGTTTAGTTTTGCAGGAAATTCCCTGCCTCATAATAATCACATCATCAACATGCTGTCTGTACGCAGTGCACCCCAGTTGGCACTTGCAGAAATCAGCAGTTGTATTCAATACTGCCCTTGGAGAGAGCACAAGCAGCACAGGCACTTTTCTCCAACCTGTGACCATCAAAACAATTTTGTCACATAAATGACTTGGGTCATTTCCTGTGAAGATTTAGGATAGTAACTTTTCTCCAACCTGTGACCATCAAAACAATTTTGTCACATAAATGACTTGGGCCATTTCCTGTGAAGATTTAGGATAGTTACTTTTCTCCAACCTGTGACCATCAAAACAATTTTGTCACATAAATGACTTGGATCTTTTCCTGTGAAGATTTGGGATAGTTACTTTTCTCCAACCTGTGACCATCAAAACAATTTTGTCACATAAATGACTTGGATCTTTTCCTGTGAAGATTTGGGATAGTTACTTTTCTCCAACCTGTGACCGTCAAAACAATTTTGTCACATAAATGACTTGGGTCATTTCCTGTGAAGATTGGGATAGTTTACTTTTCTCCAACCTCCAACCTTTGACCATTTCAAAACATTTTAGTTACTCCAACCTGTGACCGTAAATGACTTGGGCCATTTCCTGTGAAGATTTAGGATAGTTACTTTTCTCCAACCTGTGACCGTCAAAACAATTTTGTCACATAAATGACTTGGGCCATTTCCTGTGAAGATTTGGGATAGTTACTTTTCTCCAACCTGTGACCATCAAAACAATTTTGTCACATAAATGACTTGGGTCATTTCCTGTGAAGATTTGGGATAGTTACTTTTCTCCAACCTCTGACCGTCAAAACAATTTTGTTACATAAATGATTTGAGTCATTTCCTGTGAAGATTTGGAATAGTTACTTTTCTCCAACCTGTGACCATCAAAACAATTTTGTCACATAAACGACTTGGGTCATTTCCTGTGAAGATTTGGGATAGTTTTTCCTCAAATTTCGAGAAATATGGAGATGAGTCTCTGTTTAGTTGGAAACGTAAAGTGGTTATTTGAACTTATGTGTCTTTGTGTAAAAGATTTGTAACAGATTCTTCAACTGATTTGTCATTAAGTAGGGCATGCTTATGAGAACAACATGTATCCGTATTTTGGGATTGGGCTGACAACATCTCTATTAGGGTTAACAGAATGTCAAGATCTTCTACTGGTTTAGTTTAGTGTCATTGAAACTAATGAGGATACCCAAGGTGAGATGCCTGCTATACCTATATAGCCAGCATAGATGGCTTAAATTTCTCCAGTGCCTGTGGCTGAAATCATCATGTGCCATATATTACACATGAAACTAAATATAAATAACAAAGGAATGTGTGAAAGCTCCCTGTGTTTTCATTTAAGGCCCCTTTTCCTCGCTTCAGGTATTTAGGGCTAGTCCTATATTTTATAGACCAACCGGCACTTGTTTGGTGATGTGGTCAGCATCACGCCAGCTGCCTTTACTTGCCATGAATCTGTCTGGTACCCATTGAAGGCTGAGTCCACCTTGGAGCCAAGATCGTGTTTGAAATCAGTCCGGCTTCAAGACCTGAACCCATGACTTTCAGATCTACAGACAAGTGTGTATTTCCATTAGCTTAATACTTAATGTCTGGTTCTTCCAGCTCGGCCTAAATCTGCTTGTTTGTTATGATGAATTTATCACTTGCTGTTGACATAAATGCTGTCCTGACTTGGATTTTTTGACCAAACTGGGATTTGCTGTCTAAACTAATATTGTAAGAACCATTTGACCTGAATCTTTTGCTGTTGACAAGTCTGGTGTTAATATTTTGCACATTTTTCTGTAGCTGAATTTTGTCAAGTGTGCAGAATCAGTCAGTGAACAAACAATAGGAGTGTCTGCTTTTGTTCGCAAGAAAAACTCAGTAAGTTTTTAATCATATACATTTTTATAGCCAGTTTATTATTTTCTTTATAAGAGGACAGCTTGTAATTGTTGTTTAAAATGTGTCAACTTTATATTCCGTCTCAGTGTTGTAAGAGCAAAAAATTATTGCAATATTTAAGATTTTAGTTTGTCATTGCACATATTAATTTAATAATAACTACTTTAGTTCATTGAAGCTGCTGTTCAGAATAAGAATCAGTAAACCAAAACACAAATTTAACTCCAGGAAAAAAAGACTTTAATGAATATTGCCCCATTTATGTTCATATGTTGGTACATCAAATGTGAGTCTGGTTGCTTTGTGTGTGTGTGTGTGTGTAGCAGAATATCATCAATCAGAATTCCATTTTATACTTTTAAATTTGTTTTATTTCTGTCAGCATTTTTGCTACTGATTTCAAACCCTCTGTTTCAGTATTTGAACTTATTTAAACAGCTGCCTTCAGTGATTGATTCCGAATAAGCACCATTACCTAATTTGAAAACTCTTCCTACTTTTTTCAACTGACTGACGACTGACTTTCTACCCCACTAGGACATCACACCCGATGACACAAAGTGCCACCATGTGGATGAGGATCGCCGTGGAGAGGTCCCAGAAACCGCGTTCAGACAATTGCCCACATTTATGGCCTGCCTATATTGCGGCCCCTGGCAAAAGCCAGGGTGGGGCTTCAAATAACAAAAAATTTCGTCCTAAAAAGGACGAAACTGGATTTTTTTATTTTTTCAACTGCATCACTCCTCAAACCATCCATGTAAGGCATCTGTCCGCTATGCTTAAGGAAATCATTATATACACAGGTGGATCCGTAGTGAGATGTACACAACATGGGGTTTTCTGAGTCATAGATCAGGCTTGGGAAAATAAAGACTGGTGTTCACTGTGCAGAGTGGTTTGCCTCACTTGATAATACTCTGATCTGGATTAGAATGTGACTTTTTTGTAGAACACGACATTAAGGTGTGCATGATAATTAGTAGGCTGATAGATTGGCTGTTAACTCTCCTCTGGGTCGCAAGCTACTTTATAATAGACTGGATGTGATGAGTGCTCTCTGCAACAGAACAGACAGAGTATCTATGTCTGGAGAGACTGATTCGACTAGAAGGGAACGGAGTTTTCAACGTGTAGGAGAAAATACAAGAGGATCTTTAATTAGTCTGCATCTGGCACTGTCGGTATGGGAACTTCCTGTTGACTACTGAGGGAGGCGACAGTGCATGTGTGGAAACAACCTGAGTGTCGTAATGTCATTTCTTTCATTCAGTCTTTTTTTTTTTTTTGGTATGTTTGACTTAGTGGCAAACATTTCCTTTTCATTAACATTTGGTATCTTTGTTGGAATTCGAACTACCTGTTTTACCAGAGGAAACAATTTGCAACCATGTCCTTTTGTATGCACAAACCTTACCTAGAATGGTTGATAGCACCTAGGCACAGTTCTAGGCAAACATTAAGATTTTTACAGATACCATTTGCCTGATAATGTTAAATAATGTATTAATTTTTGGGGTCGCCGAAATGACTGGGGAAAAAAAGCTAATAAAATCCAAGAATACTAAAGGATAGATGTTGTTTGTTGTTGGCAAATGTCATGTAGCAGTCACAATTTTCTTTTTAAAGTCAGTGTTGAATTTGTATTTAATTTTTTTTTCTTCTAAATTTTGTCACAAAATTATAACTATTGTCTGATTTGTAGTAAAATGATCTGCTGTTCATTTCTCTCCCACCGGTAGCTTATTTATTATAAAACAGCCTGGGAGTGCCTTCCAAGTAGCCAGACATCATGTGATCCAAATACTGCAGCCTCTGTAAAAGCTCAACTAATCCTTGCAAGGTTTGTTTAGCAGTTTTAGTTTCAAGAATTAAAATATTTGAATACTGAGAAACCCACATTAAAGTCTCTCTCAGCATCTGTTGAATTAAACTTGTTCCTGAGACATTATTGTTGTACAATGCTATACCCTTGCATACTTTCTAGTGTGCCAATTTCATGGTCTATCATGAACTTTTGTTTCCTACATACTGGTGATGCTGGCATTACAGTTTCTTCAGTGTCATAAACCACAGCAGCAGATTTAGCTACTGCATGTTTCATGTGTGTACAATGGTAAATCACGTTTTAAATTTACACTAAAAATTCAAAACTGTTCTATTATTGTGTGTAATCTAAGTATGACAAAGGTGTCATGCAAGTGGCATTACAGAACAAACTAATCACATAATGTCACAGTGTTGACTGTTTTGATATTAACAAGAGAGTTCAAAGCTAATGCAGGTCCTCTGTTGTGTTGGATTATGGTCTAGCAACTGCAGAAGTGCATCAGCAAATTGTTTCAGAGCAGAAATAACAAGTTAATGTCTCTAAACTAAACCTGTTTCTTGCTGAGACTTGTTGGAGGACATGTGGTTCCATACTGCCAACCAGAGCCCAGTCGAGCAAGCTGGTCACACTATAAAACCTCACCAAAATTTGAAATGGTCTTCATGCCGCCACCTGCAAGGAAAATTATACTGATTCCTGGAATTAATGACACAGATCTCCTCAGGAATCATCTGAAACTCACAATCAAATTCAAATGGTAGAAAAATATGAATTCTGGTTCTTGTTGTAGATGTCTGTGTAAGATTGCTTCTAAAGAAGACCTACAGTTTGAGTGTCTTCCACATCCTCCATACTTGCTGAACCTAGCCCCATGTGATTACAGCGTCTTCACTGAGGAATGACTTTCACATTCTGCCATGTAGATAGTGTGTATGCGGCAGCCCATTCTAGTATAGGTATCAGGTGGTATCCTGGGAAGTTAAAACGGCAAGGATGATGTTACTGACCACATAACCTATCTATTAATGCTCTTTGTTTAGGAATACAGGACTGGTTTTAAAAACCCAATACTTCTTAGAGCATGGAACAGGGATCTCTATTTTTTAATCTCCTTATATTTCTACATTTTTGAGATGTTTATTGTTGGTTTGTTCTCTCCACAATTCCTTGTATTTTCCCTTGATAAGTGTTTTGATATCTGGTAATGACAATAAATGGGTGAGTTTTTTTCCTTTGTTCCATTGTTTGCAAATCCGTCTGCCAACTCATTTCCTGGTATGCCACAGTCAGCCAGAATCCATCGGAGAATGATTTGATTGTTTTCTGAGAGTTTGTTTAGCTGACAGGTCAGTTCTGTCTCCATGTTGTCTTGTGGACTCCTTTGAGTCGCCTTGAGGACTGACATTCAGTTGCAGAAGAAAACAATTTTGCTGTTTTTAATTTTCCATCCTCAAGCAGTATAGTTGCATCAATAATTGCTTGCTGCTCTGAAGTTTGTTGACAATTTCCTAAAGGCACATGATGGCTCAACCAGTTCCTCTGATTTTTTTGCTGCTCCCTCCAATGTTCCATCAGTGTATAAGTGTGTCCAATCAGGATTTGGGTAAGGGTTGTAGATATGTTCTAGGGTCTTTGCATGCAGTACTAGGTCACATTCTTCAGTTTTTATGTCTATGCCTGGGATTGTTGTTGTGGCTATAGTTGACTGTAGGTGTATGTTATATGTGTCCTGTCACCAGGTGCTGGTGCAACAAAAACATAATGGTGTCTCATGGTAGCCTTCTCTTTCTGTTACTCTGGAACAGAAGGACTCAACTCTCAGTGAAGGTATGTAGTTTGCTGGTGGCTTGTCTATTGGTCTTAAAATGTGTCCCTTCATGCTCTCAATTATCATTTTTTAACTGTATTTTTAGCTTCTTGTATTCTTGTTTCAGTTGTTCCTGTGTGTTCAGCTAGGGTCCATATGGCCTGGTCATTTGCATGCTTGTGAATGTATATCGTGAACTGCTTGTGGAGGTAATTAATAAAGAAAATAAAAAGGGTAGGAGAAATGACACCTCCCTGAGGAACATTTTGTAATCTGACTAGCATACTCTTCTGTTCTAGTCTGACTCTCATTCAGCATCTGTAAAGAAAGTCTCTAATCAAGGCAATAATATGCTCTTTTCCTACTGTCTGCTAGTTTTAGCAAGAGTCCTTTCTTCAAGACCTTGTCAAATGCTTTAGTTTGGTTGAAGAAAGTAGCTAAAAGTTCGTTGTTTTTCTTTTCTGGAAGGCATCTTCAATTTCTTGTTTGAAATAAGGGGTTTAGTCATCAGTGCTTCTGTACTTCCTGAAGCCTGGCTGTCGTCCAGTATTCTAATTTTTTCCAAGAAATTAAGTAACCAGTTGTTTACTATATCTTTCCATTGCAGCTTATTGGGCAGTAACTAAATTTGATTTCCTTTCTTGGCTGTGGGGACTATTCCTGCTCCTTCCATTCCGTTGGAATTAGTTCAGATATGAGCACACATAATGAAAAAATTAGTGGTACCTTTAGTATGTAACATTTGTATTGACTGGTTACAGTGAACATGAAAACTGTGAGGAGATTGCTCTCAAATATCTGCTACATCATGGTCTGTGGTCAGAGGCAGTTGATTTACTGAAGCAGCAAACACAGAGTCAAGGTTTGCCGGCTTATCTGCATCTAACTGTGAAAGCTCTTACTAATGTAAGTCTGGTCTCCCTGTACATTTTATACAAATTGAACATGGTGTTTACAGCTTAGTTGTCTGAATGTTGTTGAATTAAGAATCGACATCACAGCACTCAGGACACCCTCATAAGTGCTCTGTCACCATCTTCAGCAGCAAGCGAAGAGTTACAATGCTGCAAGTAACTGTCTGATTATATATCCATCTCTCCTTTCCCCTAAGTGTCGAGCGTTGGCCAGATCCCCTTGTAACTCCTCGCAGTGTCATTCTCCTCAGATCAGAATGATCTGTCTGTTCCTTGGCACTGTTAACTCGCTCGTAAAGGGCCCTCACAACATCCAGCTTGTGATAAATGAGTGCACCACCAGGTGGTGCATAACCCGCCAGTATATCTGCCTGCTCATTTCCCAACACACCTGCATGACCTGGAGAAAATATCCACAGGATGCTAACTACCCGTGACCTCTGAAGTGATGCTTGCCACTTTGCACGGAGCATGCCTGTCTCCACCTTTCTCAGCATGCTCTGTGAGTCAGTTACAATCATGGCATGTGTTTACAGCTGATTCTCAAGTCAGCGGAAGGCAGCAGAGACTGCCTCCATCTCCATTCTCATTTGTATATATAATCACATCACCTGGGTGGGAATTGTCATGAATCATTAACTTCTGATTCTGCAGCACCAGCTGGCCAGTCCCTGCACTCACATCTCAAAGTGACTAGAACCCTACACAAGTCTGAAACCTGATCGGACACTTTGACCCACTCCTCTCCTCGCCTAAATCTATCAATCTTGCACACATGTCCAATTGTGTCTTCAGCTTGCAAAGCTTAGCTGTCTTAGTCTTTCTTCAACGTGTATGCTGAAATAGTAGCACATTAGCAGTGGCGTTCTTGCATAGAATATATATATAGTATAAAGTCATTGTTATTACTAGACACTGTTTAAAATAACAGTTATATAGTATAAAGTCATTGTTATTACCAGACACTGTTTAAAATAACAGTTTGTATCAGGACTGGTAATTCTGTTTGTATACTGTTAACAAAATATGTACACAGTGTATGTTTAAGGAAATGTCACATCAGTTAGATGTTTTAATTTATGGAAGTATAAGTCATTTTGTCAATTGTCCAGTTTTGATTTGTTATCTGGTCAGGTCCAGAGATGATAAGACCTCAAGTTCTGCAATTTTTTTTTCTCTTTTTTCTCTTCCAGAGTCATGTCCTGTCCAGCTATGTGGCAAATCTCACTGCAGTTATGCCTTCTTGGAAAAGGTACATTTTTAGAGTGACTACATTTGTACTTTAGTGATATAATATTTCAAGCATGGAAGTCAGATAACTACTACTTAAATCTTGTGTGTGCTTGAAAAGTGAATAATAAGCAGACAAGCAGAGAAACATCAGATAGCAGCAGTGATGTCTTCTGAGAAGAATGAAAAGAAAACCAGAAAGAAGACAGAAACGTTAACCAGATTCGTCGCCAAGAAACAAAACTGACAAATGGTTAGAGAAATGTCAATGTAGAGCCCAGATTTTGTAAGGTAGGTTATAAAAAGAAATAAACTTGAAAACTGACGATATTGATATTAAATAACAAAAGTAACCGCGAAGGCTAACCTCGTCAACAAATGCCTGCACAAGTTGGATGTGTCGGCCGAGAGGCATAAATATCACAGCCATGCTGTAAACTGTCACAACACAAATTACGTCTTCAGATGAACACGGAAGAAGAAGAAGAAATAACAAAGGTGGACAAAAACTAAATACCTGGGTGGTTCAGCCACAAAGCCTCATTGTGACAGACACAGAGAGCTGATCCAAGTTTGCTTATCAGCATGTCACATGATGATGATGATATAGCATGTGCTCTGTTAAGTTAGTTGTGTATCCTTCACAGGACGTTGCAGAACCAACCCCAGCAGCCCCTGGCTGTTGTGTGGTTTCTCTAGGCAAATCTACGTCCAGTAGTTTGCCATTGCTTCTGAACGGTCGGCCCCCTAATACCACTGTCAAAGCCAACGCACGGCGCATGGCCCGCAGCTGGGAACGAACCTGGCACCCCGGCATTACGAAGCTTTCACATCAACTTAGCCACAGAGCCGACGTGCTCTATATTTAATTAGTGTGTGTGTGTTTATGAGAATAAGCATTGACAAAAGATTTACAAAAGAAACATCTACTTCTGTCATAAATTGGCAATCATTGTATATAGTGTATTTGATTGGCTTGTTAGTCTACATGTTTTAACTTTAGAGGATGTTACAGAAACAGAATAAAATATTGGGAGATAAGAGAGGAAAAATACTTGCTTTTCATTTATTTTCTACATTTCAGTTTTATATCATTTTCCCAACTTGCCATGGAGAGGCCAGAAATTCGGCAGCAGCAGCTGTCAAACTCAGTAGAGGACGTTTTCTGCCAAGAAGACTCGGACATTAAACTCATGGCCGTCAGGCCATTTCTGCTAAACCTAATCAAGAAATGATCAGCTAGTAATGATTAGAAATACTTACTTACTTAGTCGCTCCTCTTCTACCTTGGGGTGTAGAGGTTTGCCAGAGAGATCGCCAGACGTCTCTATCAGCAGTTTTCTTTCTGGCTTTGTTCCATTCCAGTCCTCTGTCAGTCAGGGACTGTCGGATGTTGTCTTCCCAGCGCACCCTGGGTCGTCCCGGAGGTCTGGTTCCCTGGTTCTTAGCCTCCCATGCTTGCCATGGTGGCCGATTTTCTCCCATTCTGCACACATGTCCAAACCATCGTAACTGTGACTGATCCACTCGGGTTAGTAAGGGCTGGGTATCAAGATCTTGACGTATTGTCTGATTGCGGACTTTGTCCCTTCTTGTCACTTGGACCACCTTTCTCAGGTATCTCATTTCCGAGGCCTGCAGCTGGCTTCTGTGAGCTGTTGTCATTGCCCATGACTCACACCCATAGGTCAGGAAATGATTAGAAATTATGTCTTTAATATGTCAATAATAATGATGAACAAGTGCACTTAATAAAATTGTGATATTTTATAGTCACTGCTGTGATAGTCTCGTGTCAGAGAACTGATAAATATATTGTATAAATTAAACATTCTATGTGACAATATGTTAATCACAACAATTGTTGTTTTCTTTATCATTATATTTATGTGATTACTGTAAACATATGCAACAAGACAAGGGTATTTGAAGTTTGCTAAATTATATTTTCTTCATAATATTTTTAATCAAAAGAAAATTGTGGCTTTAACCTGAGTGTAATCTCCCCTGTAAAGTGCATACTAGATGATTCAGAGTCATGAGGTTGCGGGGGTCACGGTGGCGTAGCGACTAGATGCTTGCGTGTGGATCGGAAGGTTGTGGGTTCACCCCCTGGCGGAGCCGGACTTTTTTCAAAAATGATGTTGAGTCCCAGGTTGACTCAGCCTTAAGTGGGTACTGGCTGCAGTCCCAGAAAGTAAAGGCGGCTGGCGTGATGCTGACCACATCACCCATCTTGTGCCAATTGGTCCATAAAAATATAGGTCTAGCCCTATATGCCCTGTACGCCTAAAAGTGTAGAAAAGGACCTTTACTTTACTTTTACATGAGATTGCTGACCACATAATCATAAACTTGTTAAAAATCACATAGTTTTTTTTTCTTCAAGTTATAAGCGACGGATTAGCATGAAGATTTTTGTTTTCCTTTACTCCAGAATGTTTTCAGATGGATGTGAATTCATTTTGGTTCTCTCTTCTGGTTCATGAGCGTTGATAGTGAGAAGTATAGGAGATCTCAAAGGTCATGGCAAGAATGATAGTCTCATTTTTGTGTGATTGTGTGATTCATTCAGTAGGTGACCACCATTCTAAAAGGAGAGACTGAGCCATGTGAGTTAAAACCCAGTGCAGTGATCCTCCTGTCCTTAAACACAGTGTATTATATAATACCAAATTCAGATAAACAATGTCTTGGTGTAGCAGTTTATTAGAAGGAATTGCCTACATAGGCATAGGTTCTGGTTTACAAATTGTTCTGATAGGAAGAGCTGATAGACTGGCCTGCTCTGCCACAGTTGCAAATGGCTGTCCTATGGATCACGCTGATACTGTTAAACGCAAGAATTGGAAATAAAGATCAGTGCTGCCAGACACAAGAGGCACACTGGACGTATGAAAAGTCTTGTCAACCAGCATAGGACTGGCAGTTTCATGAAGAATTACTCATAACTCAGGTTATGATTGACAAATGAAAGCTTGTTTTAAATGCTTCCATTTGTTTGTAGAGATGACAGAGGACCTGAATGAAATAAAGCATTATACATTTACATGTATTGAGTTTTAAATCTTTTGCTTGTGTGTCCCAATCTCACTGCACACTTCCACTTATCCTGTCCGGCAGGCGCTCTTGCCAAAGTATCTGGGGGATAGTTCACAATATTAGTACCCCCCCACCCCCTTTACACACACAGGCATGCTTGCTCACATACACACACAGGCATGCTTGCTCACATACACACACAGGCATGCTTGCTCACATACACACACAAGAGCTCCCTCAGGTGATGACAATGATGCTACTGGGTTTAGAGCAGTGAGGCCAGGAGCATCACAGTAAGCCAGGCACAAGTTGCATTGTAGCCACTAACACTGCAATAAACCACTCCATGTATGATCTGATAGTGCAGTCTGTCTCCATCTTTTGTTTGTTTGACTTCAGCTGTTAAAGGTCCATATGTAAGTGTACTGATAACCAGTGCTCGGGGCAGTCGTAGCTTAGTTTTGTGTGAAATGTTTTTGGATCTCCAAATTTACTGTTTGGCAAAGACTGATGTCTGTTTTTTACTACGTATGAGAGTTTAACCCATGTGTATTTTTCCCCCAGAGTTTTGCATGCCACACTCTATTGAAGGTCTTTATTAGTATTGATAAGCACATGGTACAGATGTTTTTTTTTACTTGGTGGTTTTGCTCTGACAGTATATGTATGTAGATTCAATATTTGTCCAATCGTGCCTCTTCCAGTATGGAAACCTTTTGGTTCCTATGCTATGATTTCTTTTGCTTGCGTTCGGTCTGTTTAGGAGTACCTGGAGCATGACTTGGCTAGGGCGACTGATGAGGCTTATTGTTCAATAATTCTGACATTGTCCTTTCTTTTGGAATAGTTGTGTGATTTGGTCCAAAGAGATGGCCAATCACCACTCTCCCAAATTTTGTTACAGATTTATGTGAGGATGTCAGTACAGTCCTGCCTTAAGGATCTCAGCTAGGATGTTGTCAATGCCACCAGTTTTCCCATTTATTTTGATTCTGATGGCCAGTTCTACTTCGTGCTGGAGTATTGGGAAGTTTTCATCTTTCTGTGCTTGGTTGTTCTCAGTGATGCAGGTTTGTTTGTTTCATTATATAGGCTTAAACAGTATTCAGACCATCTGTTGGGGATATCATTACTTTCTGTGAGTAGGTTACCCTGTGTCTTGGATGGCATTACTTCTTGATGTTCTCAGTTGATGTTTGATTTAATGGCAAAGGCTTTTTTATTTTTTAAACTATTATTCAACATGTTAACATTCTTCTGTTTCTGCACATTTGCTTTCTATCTGACTTTCTTTTGCCTCTCACATCTTTTTTAATGTAAGTATTTATCTCTTTGTACTAGTTTGCTATAGTTCTTTCAAGATCTCTTAAACACACTTTTAAGCCATTTTCTCAAAAACTGCCTGTTAGATCGCAACGATTTTTTGCATGTAGCCTTAGAATATCCATGACGCAAAAATAGTGGTATTTTTTATTCTGCAGATGAACAGTGTGGACTTGTTGAAGGTAAAGACGAATATAATGACACTTGTACTGAATAAAAATCCACAAAAGCAGGAGTAGACCTAAAGAGTGGAGAAGAGAATTCGAGACAAGAGATGAACAAAATGGGAAATGCATGGACAGGTTGTTGAAAATAGGCTGGCTTGGCTTGAATTGCTTTGGTCTGTACTCAAGAAGGGGATCACCATCATTATGTGCCCTGCCAGGTGGCATAGATGCTATTGCCCCTCCACAGATCTGTCTGGTATTTTGAATCAGTTCCACTCATGTTAGTCCACCATGCCATCAATTCAGGTTGTCAACCATCTTCTCTCTTGGCCTGCCTGTGCCTCTCCTACTTTTGATCTTTTTAGTCATCATGATGTTCTCCAGAGCCTGTCTTCTTATCTCATAACCGGAAAACACTTACTGACTCTTTTCATGTAGTCTTCTAATGTTTTAGTCATTTCAGAGCAGTCACAACTTAAGATTCACAGCAGTAGTGCAGCACTGGTTCAACATAACCTTTCAGTACTCTTTTTCTTATGTTTAATGAGAGCAAAATATATTTTTCATTTTCATTTTTTGAAATGCCACCTTCATCTGGCATATCCTTCTCTTAATCTCTCTCGCAGCACATGTTTCCATCCCTCCTTCACTAGCAGACATTGCCCAGACATACCTCAGAGTAACTGCGTACAAAGAACACCCTCTGTATAAAGCTTTGGCTGCAGGCAAGGGTCTGAGGCTGAAAAGGGGAAATCGTGAATGGCTCAAGCAGAAGACACAACAAGACAAGTATGCATGCTGGAGAACATTGGGCAAGGAGAGGAGTGGGTAAGAGTACCAGAGTAAAAGTCAGACCAGTGTAGGGTTATGACACATTGGGACGGGAGTGCAGAGAGTGGCCAGTGGGTGCTGCGGAGGTAGAAGTCTAACAGTTGATTCATGACAATTCATGCCCAGGTGATCTAATTATCTATACAGATGGTTCGGTGTTGAGAGGAAAGAGAAGTGCCTGGGGGTTCGTAGCAAAAGTCAATGGAAAATCTATAGGTGAAAGACAGCCTAGTAGTATATGACATTACAACATCTAGCATGAGAATGGAGTTGGAGGCAGTAACTACAGCTGTCTGGTGGCTAGAGAACAAGTGAGCATACTTTGGATCTTTTCTCCAGGCAATGCCAGCGTAGTGGGTAATGAACATGCAGACAGATTGGCTGGATCTGCACCACTGGGTGGTGAATTGATACATGACAAGGCAGATGTGGTCAAGGCTCTTTGAGAATAAGCAACGGAATCAGTAGAGAAACAAGATTATTGTGGCCTGCAGAGAACAAGGCACCTGGGTGTGACCAGAGGGTCTGGCCCACTCACTACACTCAGAGGAAAGGCAAGACGAACATATAACCAGATTGTGACCGATACTATCAGTATTGGAACTCAGCGCCAGCTGCTTAAGATGAGGATGGAGCACGCATGGGAATGCTGAGTGCAGTGATGTCAATTCTTGACTCAACTCAATCTCTCGCACACCTTCCGTCAGATGTTATAATTGTCCCCAGATATTTGATCTGCTTAGCACTAAATATAAATTGGAGAGGAAACCGATTGAGGAGTATTTTCTAAAACGCAAACAACAGATTACCGCAAACAAATGTCTAAAGGTGGATAGCAAAAAAGACATCCAAAACTTGTTAAACAGTACCGA